ATTGGGAACTAAAATAGGAGCAATAACATTAACTAAAATATTAAAAAGGGTATGAAAATCAACTTACCATTTCCTGTTTCGATAGCAGAAATCACAGAACGGTTTGCATCCAACCGGGAACCCGCTCTGGGGACGATCTCCGAACCAAATGATCCAGCATTGGTACCTAAAATAGGTGCATTAACATTAACTTACATATTAAAAAGGGTATGAAAACCAACTTACTATTTCTTATTTCGATATCAGAAAACGTAGAACTAGCATCCGACCGCGAACCCGATCTGAGGATGCCGGTTTGTGCTACTGTGCACGAAGGCTTCAATAGAAATTTCTTGAACTCGGCTCCAAATGAACGATTTAACGGCACTAAAATAGGTTTAATGAATTTGAAAACTAGATAATATATTATTCAAGAGAACACAGTCAAGCTTACCTTTCTGAGCTGACGAATCACCGTCCATTCTTGTTGACGGTCAAAAAACAGTTGAATCTATTGATCCGTGTCGTTTCACGGTGGCGGATTTATTCAGCTGGATGACGGCAAAGAGTAGCTGCATCAGCAAGAGGAAATTGACATTTTAATTGGATCGACCAGAGTATAGAGATTACCGAAGTTTATCGTACACAAACTATGTTGAGCGACGTCGCGTATACGTATATGCACAATGTTTTCATCAGGAAAATTGCTCCCATAGCAAAATATTTTCCTGATGAAAATAAATCACAGACACAATCACACTTCAGCAATCTCTATTTACCTTCTGATTTTGACAGGTGACTTAAGTCGAATTTCGTTTATAAGACGTTTTGACAGAAAATTGTCGAAAACGATGAGACGTTATGAGCGTTACATAAGTCTTTTTACAGGTAAACCGACCAATGTCGCAAAGTAGTATTGTTGTATGGTTGTGTGGCATAAGTCGATTTTTCAATGTGCAAATTTTATGTTTTACTATCAAAACATCACCATGAAAATTTAAATCCACATTAATGTACGCTTGAGCTATCGTATCGCACGTAAATCTCGTTTTTGTTTACATTGTTACTTACGACCTAATGAAAATTTGCTCTTGATTTGCAAGTGGGTACGCAGCGCTGCCATTTATACAGATTTATCTGTATTATACAGATTTTTTAATCTTAATACAGACCCGATACAGAATACAGATTTATCACAGATTTTTAAATTACAATACAGATTTATACAGATTTTTATAAAATGCTTGAGAAAAAAAAAAAATTAAAAATTTATAAAAACAAAATAACTTGCTCGATTTTATCAGCACCCCTTCTCTCCAAAATTAATTGTTGTGCTAAAAACCATATTTTTTGCAGTGGGATCTGCTCGAGGCGTTGCTGTTTCTTTTATGCTTCTCTCACTCCCTCCAACGGAAAACGCAGTCACGCCCGTCACGGTAGTTTCGCATTGAAAATGTATTTCGTAAGAAATTGCGGATTTTCTGATATTCTCCATACTGCAAAAATGATTTTACCAGCACTGGCGGGGCGACATCTCTCGACTTTTCGGTGTAACTACCACACAAATGATGTAATTAATTGTATTCATCTATATTAAAAATATCAAATAGTAATGAACTCGTGCACTTTTTTGCATTTAAAACTGCTTATCAGGAAAAAAATGAATAGAAACTAAAATCTCCATACATTTTCAAACGGCTTCATATCACTCTTATAAATAAGTACGGACGATATCACAAATGGCGCAATTATATCCCGTATGGTTAGTACGATAGCCCGAATAGGTGGTTAAGCACTTTTTATGGTTATTTTGTATGCACTGTATTTGTAAAACAACAAAACATGATTAATTAAGAAAAAAAATCGTCAATACAGAAAATACAGATTTTTTAATAGAGTGGATACAGATTTTTTATAAAACCACCTGGCAGCTCTGTGGGTACGTGAAACTAAGATTATCTGTCACCTTGCCGGGGAGTTGATCCCAGCCCTTCTTATCACACCTTCTAACGTAACGTTAAATAGCAGACACGAAAGTCCATCACCTTGCCGTAACCCCCTTCGAGATCCAAAGGGACTCAAGAGTGTCCCCGATACTGCAACAACGCACAACACTCGATCCATTGTCGCCATGACCAATTCGGAAATCCGTACTCGTGCATAATCTGCCATAGCTGATCTGGATCGATTGTGTCGTATGTGGATTTGAAATCAATGGACAAATGATATGTGGGCACGTTGTATTCGCGGCATTTCTGCAGAACTTGCCGAATCGCGAAAATTTGGACCACGGTAGCGTGGGCACCCATGAATCCCGCCTGGTATTGTCCCACGAAATCTCTGGCAAATGGTGACAGGCGGCGGTATAGAATTTGGGAGAGTCCCTTGTAGGCGGCGCTTAGCAGTGTGATCGCGCGGTAGTTGTAGCAGTCGAACTTGTCGCCCTTTTTGAAGATTGGCCATACGGCATCTTCCAACCAATCCTCCTCCCGAATCTTGGCAATTACTGCCGGAATGGATAAAAAGGAACTCGGATCACGGAAATAACAAAAGTACGTCGTTTACAATTTGCAGGAGAGAACACATATGAGGGGGTTAGAATGAAAGGGATGTAAGTAACTTTGATTGATTCTCTTCATCGACTTTCTCTTTCGTTAATTGATGAATCTACGCGAAACTGCACCAGTGCATGCGACACCTAGGTTTGATAACCAAAACCACAAAAGTGATGATGTACTAAAAAATATTCCATACGATTTGACAGGTAGCAAAACGTCATTATCATTTCCATCTGCTGGTCGACCGTAACGTAGATTCATCAATAATTCAGCTGCAAACACATTCCTTGATTCGTGTGCCAATATGGATGCTAGATGAGCACCTTCTTTATCAAACTATATGGCAGAAATAGCGCAAAATCTGTTTATAAAGCTGTGGCTATCAAAAGAGAAAGTCGATGAAGATAATCGATCAAACTCACTTACACCCCTCTTCTTCTAACCCCCTCATAAGAGATTTTGATTTGCCACACAGGGATTATTGTTTCTCTTCGTCGATGATGTTGTCACCGCACTAGGGACTCAACACTCCTCCTCAATTTCACTCCGATAGCCGTCGGGGGGGGGGGGGGAGGCTCCCTTAGCTCAGTCGGTAAAGGCGCAGCAACAAAGCAAGACCATGCTGGAGGTGGCTGGGTTCAATTCCCGGTCCGGTCTAGGAATTTTTCGGGTTGGAAAATTTCTCGACTTCCCTGGGCATAGAAGTATGATTGGACTTGCCACACAATTATACCAATGCAAAAATGGTACAGGCATCGAAAGCTCTCAAGTGTGGAAATGCATCTAGAACACTAAGTTGAGAGCACGCAATAAGCTAATATGCGATATGCAATAAGCTTGTAATGCGAAGAAGAAGAAGAAGATGCCGTCCGAAGTTCCCGAAGCTTCACCGCTGCCAATGGCTTCATCAGCATGTCCGTTTCCATCCGTTCAATCGGACAGTACTCGACGGATACATCACCGCTCGACACAAGATCTTCAACAAAGCAGTATTTGGTGTTAATATGCTTTGACCTGCGTGAAGTCCTGCCCGTAGCAGCTCAAAACTGAAATGCATAAACATTTTTTTTTAATGACAAAATGATACACTCTTTGCACACTGTCAAAGATCATTGCACATAAAATCAACTTTGTTCAAATCAAATCAAAAATACTAGCCCATCTGGTGGCTGATGGCACAAGCTTCTAAGGCTGTGAACCATTTGCCGAGTTAAATTTAACTCGTGGTTAAAAGTGACATTTCGAAAGTTATTTTCTATGTTCGAAAATCCCTGTGCTGTCGATCGACCGGTTTTCGAGCAGAACTTAGCCAAGGTTGTCAAAATTTAACTTCTTGTCTGTCAGAAGTAACCACGCTCGGATAGCAGGGTTAATCGATAACTTTCCATCTGTCAAATTTTAACCAAAAGTTAAAATAATCCACCAAATGGTTCAGAGCCTAAGAAAATTTTATTACAGCAAACCACATTATTTTAAATGATCGACTTTCTTCGCCAGTTAGTCGTCTGTCACTTCGTTTGCGGTTACAGAGTCGCCGTCAACGCCGTCTGCGCCAGACGCAGGTGTTAATATAGTCACTATAGGTGACTGTGGGTGTTAAGTGATCGACCTAGGGAAAGCGGACTAACTCAAAGCGCAGTCAGCATAAAAAACATCGAGTGGGCTTACATTTTTCAAAACATGAAAAAGTAGGGGAAATTTTGAAAGACGATGTCGAAAACAAGCGGGAAGTATAGCAGAAGTGTCATTGTTGTTCTCGTCATATTCTGATCCTTTTAAGAATTGGATTTGGATAATCGGATTGATATGGTTCGGTTTGTTTAACTTTCTTGAGGAGTTCTTTGTATAATGCCAATATTTCCTAACATCAATGTCGTACCTGTTGTGTGGAACGTCAATGTCGTACCTGTTGTGTGGAACGCTGTATAGTTCGAAGATGTTGCTTCATTTGAAGTAGTGAAGAATTGGTCAATCTACAGATTTCTTCTCATCTAAATTTAAGCACTGGCACTACTGCAGACACGAGAGCTCACTCTGATAACATTGTCGTTAACTGGAAGAAATAATCCGGATCCGTTGAAAAACGGAATAAGCTTATGTGATCCTGCCGGCTATTTTTCCACATCCTTTTACGGAACAATTAATTTTCGAGTTAAACAAGAAACGGAAACCCTTACAAACTTTTACAATGCAGAGGTGAGCAATTTCAGGTGTCAACAATTTTTGCTTTGTTTGCTTTGATTGCGGCAAATTTCAATGTGACAGCGTTTGGAGGGGAAGACAAATATGATGAAAATATTCATTTTCAAGCAATTTAGTTTGAAAATCAAAATCGTCTGGATCCGCTCTTCCCAGTAATCGACTTTCCATCATCGGTAGGTTCTTGTTTCAACGATATTATTTATTTTAGGTTCTTGTTTCAACGATATTATTTATTTTATTTTAAACAATTAACTCTTTGTTTAAATAAATACTTCCCGGACCATAAAATCATACAATTTAAAATGTTGCCAGCAAATGTATTCCTATCCATTCAAAATCCTAGCTCAGAACATTAAAAATAATCTACAAATCTAATCGCTGAGTACCATCCCCTTACTCCGCAAATCCTTCTTGGCTTCCTTGATCTGTTCCAGCAGTTCCTTGGCGGCTTCCTCGCAGTTGTTGAAGGTAAGCGTCCGATACAGCACCACCGTAACCGAGTAAAGCTGCAATTTGATTCGTATGATTGTATTTTAAAGCAACATTGGGAACGACCGGTTTACTTATTTACTTACCCCAAATAGGACCAGCAGTATCAGCGGAGACAGTTGAATCTCTAACATGTACTGATCGAACACATCATGCTTCACCTGCCGACAAACGATGGCCAAATACACACCGAAAAACGCCACCGCAGCCATCAACCATTCCATCAGCTTTGTCATTTTAATTGCTGTTTGAAATGCTGGACTAGTTGGAAAGACGGAAACGGAATGCAATCGAACCGGCGGTCAACCCACTGGATGCTCTGTTGTAATTGGATTTGTTTATTAAAGTGTTGTTTTCTTGAACTCTGCAGGTGCACTGCACTGCACTACTCGAGGCATGTACTGACTGATTGACGATTGCGTTTGTTTTGATTACACGGTGCCGCTGTTGACGTGGTGGTTGTCAAACGCACTGGCGAACGTATTTTCTGTGCTGGCCACCAGAGGCAGCAAGTGTTTGCGAGTTCGCGTGCAGAGGGCAATACGGAACTGTTATAGGATGGTAGTTTTATGGCACCAAAAAAAGAGCGCGAAGCTGGTTTTTTATGGCAACCATGTGCGTTAGACTTTTTCAATTATATTCGGTAACTCGATATAGTTGGGCCATTGCAACTTTATTTTGAAGTTTTTTCCTCCTTCAAAAAATCAGGGAGCAAAAAACCGGATTTATTTTGTGTTCATATCAATGCGTAATTTAAACCAATAATACGTAGGTCAAATCAACTATTTAGACAATTGTTCGGAAAAATTCAAATTTCATGTGTTAGTTCGAATCGTAAACACCCCCTGAAGGTCGAATTCCGAGAGTTGAGACAGTTTTCTCCCAAGAACGGCCATCGTTTACGCATCATAGATTATACACAGTCTAACAATTAAGTTCAGCATTGTGTACCGCTTCGTTGGGCGGTACGTCGCTAAAAGCTCCGTACACACCAAGCTATTTGATGCGTGCGATATAAATTAGCGCATGATTTCTGTGTCCGATCGAAAGAGATGCCGTTCAGTTGCGGCAACTCCCTTGTCAGAACAAACATGTATGACAAGCAACTAATTGCATGGTGTGTGCAGAGCCCTATAGAGCTAAACTGCAAGTTCTGGAGATGGTTCACAATCTAAATGAACGGCTGTTGTTTAGCGAACCGTGGGACATGAAACAAAACGCAGACATGAGAATGGCAATTTCCGCACTTCGATGACTAATATTGTAATCAGGACGGCGTTCGCGGCTTGTCTAAAGTCCGGATGTTACACTCACTTTATTGTGTTGTCTGTATGTATTTACATACGCACACATGATTGATGTTTTACCGGTTAGTGCAAGTATAAGAAACGTATGCGTAGATCGCGGGAAACCCCCGGATGGGTCTATATTAGTCATGGATGGATACTAGCGCTTCTTCACTGCAGAGCATCAATGCTGGAAATTTGATGCAAGTGGAATTCGAATGACCAATAATAAGGTTAATCCCCTCAGATTAGAATGGAGTTTGTAATTCTAGCTTTTAATGTGTACTGAGTAATTAAATTTTCTTCACGTTCACTTTTAGCATCTAAGCCAGCATTGGTCTTCCCCTGCAATGAACTTTTGCGCGTTTTCTTACCCGTGTACTTGTTTTAGACGTCTATGACGAATGCAAGATGCAACTGCAGTTGATGACCGGTTAACAACAACATCAGGTTTGTGACGGACGATAGCCACGGCGTTGACAGAGATGAAGCTCTTTTGTTGATTCTTGAATTACTTGTTGCAGAACTTAAATAAACAGACATTAGCATACAGAGTGACAAAGTGGCGGGACTGTTGATGTGTGGTCGTTCGTCAGTTGGTTCATCGATATGGAATAATGAATGGCTAATTGTTGACTTTGTTACAACGATCTTTTCTATCCCGGTGCAAAGTTGGCTAATGGACAAAAGGCTTGTGCGCGCAATCTACGGTGGGCATCCGGACAGACAGATCAATAAGGTATTGATAAATTGAAAACAGCGCCAGTAAGACCCTCGAGTGAAACAACATTACGAGAACCACGTGCGTAGCTTGCGGCGCACAGTGGGACGAAATTAAAGAAAATGGGACATGGCTATTTGCGATGAAACAATTGAGTGTAGCATTTTGATGTCTACTCAAATGTTTATCAATTTTTTGAATACTTTGTTTTAGTGGTGAAAATGTTTCCTTGAGGGGAGTATACAATCAGATAAAATAACAATAACATTTTTATATCTTGTTAAAATTGATCAACATCTATGGAAATATTGAAGATGCAGTCATTTTAAGAAACTTTGCCGAAAACGACAATCTTAAATCTCTCAAGTGGACAAAGTTATAGGTTAAAAATGGGATACAAACGGTTGTACCCCCTTAAAACCGTTTTTTTAACCATAACTAGTTTGTTTGAATTTTCCCATTTTTTCAATGCTGTACGAAGTTGTAAGTGCTCTACAAATGCACATTTTTGCTGAAGGAAACAAATCGCTATCTCTTCGTTTAAAGGATTTAGGATGTTGATGTTATTTTTATTTAAGTTTATCGCTTAAGGAAAAAAAATACCACTCAAATAAAGTACTCAAAAAATTCAAAAACATTATAGAAGACATCAAATGCTACACACAAATAGCCATGTCCCACTTCTTTTGATTTCGACCCACTGTGATGCGCGCAGCTATTCTTGGGGGGCAGAGGGCTTTCTGATCTTCAGCTGATCTAAGTAACTCCACAAGTAACTCCTTACCTAGCACCGTTCGCATATAGTGGATTACGTCCGGTTTTAATATTGTTCGCTTTTGTTGTTGCTGATGTTCTTGCACTGGATCGTTACAGTTGATTGATAAAATCTTGTTTAATTGTGCAGACCGCATCATGCTGTCTTGCCGTGCGGATCTTCTTATTCGCATTTCAAGCTTATTGCTTAGGGCATATTAGCTTATTGCGTGCTCTCAGCTTAGTGTTCTACTAAATGCACTTCAACAGTTATTAATTGAGAGCTTTCGATGGCAATACCAATGCATGAATTTGTATATTGTGTGGCAAGCACAATCATACTCTTTGCCCAGGGAGTCGAGAAAATTTCCAACCCGAAAGGTTCCCTCGACCGAACCGGGAATCGAACCCGCCACCTCCGGCTTGGTAATACCATGCTTTTACTGACTAGGCTATGAGGCCCCTACGGCGGATCTATTAGCACTATTAGCATTTTGCTGAAGGAAGTGTTACCGCTACTAAAGCTACAATCAATTTAAACAGCACTTTTCACTCACTATAAACAGCAAAATTTTCTACCTTGATCGACTGTTATTCCTCTTCGATCCTTGTTTGGACTCTACCCGAGGTAGATATCAATTTGGAAAATTCCTCTTAATCCTTAAAATTCTTATAATAATCTGCTTGGAAGTCGATTTGGGGAAACGTTTTACTGCCGCCTAAGCAAAAAAGGGCAATCTCTTGATCCCCCGTTTGATGAAATTTAATTGAGCAATGAATTTGATATGCTCACGGATGATTAGAATGAGCCATTATCCAGACAAAATTCCACCAAACTTTTTCGGCCTAATGCCAAGAAGGAAAAGGTCCCCCTATTGTGATAACCACTTTCGATTTCCAGCATCTTCGCACGAAACTTCCCAAGTAACAATTTTGGTTTTATGAGGGTTCTGTAGACCATGATTTAGACTTCTAGAATGCTATAAAACACCTCTATAAAGCTTGCAATGTTACTTGGGTTTTGAAGTTTGTTAAATGCAGGTTTTTACTTCAAATTAGCCGTCGGGGTTAATGCCATGTATTGGCTGAAACCTTGGACGGATTCAAACGTCTTCTCTCTTTTTTTTTACTCACGACACCAACACAGACCGTCTGTTCAAGGCTGTCTTGAAAGATCTGCCCAGTGGTGAATGCCTGGATCAGATCAAAGATGAACTGGAAAAATTACTTGGAGTTGAATCAATCCAAGTGTTCAAAATGAAAATGAAGTCCCGTCCTGGCGATTCGCGCAACCAAGGATATGGCCTGTTGGAGTCCTTCCAACGCCCGGTCGATGTCATCTACTGTGGCGAGCGATGGATTTTCTTCGATGTTGCAGTCCATCATTCGTCCGTACTGCACCCAGTTGACATGATGGTAGTCTTTATGCAGGCAGCTTCTAGCAGGAACCACGTTGACACCGACTTCAGTCACCACCGGTTGGTTGTCGGAGCTGAGATCGTTGTGCGCCTCCGGCTTGGATAGTCCGATGTTCGACACGAAAAAGTCCAGGGTGGAGGGATTTCCTGGAGAGAAAAAAAAGTTGGTTCGTCCGAAAACTGCACAGTGTACAGTCCATGTTGTGCGTGGTCGAACAATAGGTTCCGGTTCCGCTGGTAGTTCCTCCAAGCTTCATGGCGGGCATTCAGGTCGCCCCCAACGATGAATCGGGAGCTAGTACGGGTGATGGTGGTCAGGTCGTTCTTGAATTGGATTCCTAGTCCGTTGCTTGCGGTACGCTGGCTTCTTCTTCTTATTCGCATTTCAAGCTTATTACTTAGCGCATATTAGCTTATTGCGTGCTCTCAACTTAGTGTTCTAAATGCACTTCCACAGTTATTAATTGAGAGCTTTCGATGCCAATACCAATGCATGAATTTGTACATTGTGTGGCAAACACAATGATACTCTATGCCCAGGGAAGTCGAGAAAATTTCCAACCCGAAAGAGTCCCTCGAACGGACCGGGAATCGAACCCACCGCCTCCAGCTTGGTAATACCGTGCCTTTACTGACTAGGCTATGAGGCCCCGGTACACTGGCGTGGGCAGTAAACAGCGATAAACTGGACGTTTCCAGTTGGTGATTCCACCTCCACACTAACGGCCTCGATGATAGAAGTACGGGGCAGAGTGCAGAACTTGATTCCCTTTTTTGATCGCTACACCACCCCCTGGAGCTCGTGCGATCAAGTCGGATAATGTTGTGGTCAGGCAACCAGAAAGTGTCACTGGATTTTAGGTGGGTCTCGGTCGGCAAACTCAATCTGGTTTGCTCTTACAGATCAAGCGTTCCAGGTAGCGATGGTTAGCGGTTTAGACACCATACTGGATGATGAACTTACCGAGTACTTGGATCTGTTCAGGGCTTATTGCGGCACTTACGTAGAGTACCGGCAAATATATTATATTAACAACATGATCCACCCTTTCGCTTAGCTGGCGAACCGAATTTTTAGCGATGAAAGCGCCTATGTGGCCAAAAAGGCTACCACTGTATTTATTTATCTTCCCAAGGGGTAAACCAATTGAAAATTTGCATAATATTTCAAATGTATGTATTTCCGCATATTATTTGATTTGACGACAA